TTTTCACTCTCCAATTTCTCTCTTTACTAAAGACAAATCATAGCAAACTAACTTAGTTGCCAAAATAAAGTGTACGTCAGTATACTGGGTCTGATTATTTGCATAAAGTGCAGTAAGAATAATTATTAGCTCTTCTTATCTTTAAAATTGTCTTTACTGGAACCTTTTATAAGGAATCTCAGGTTAGACTTGAAAGCCTTCCACAAGCCCAGGTTTCCTCTGTCCATTAGATACCTGTATGCATTGGGTGGATTCCACTTCTCTTGAGGTCCCCAAGCATATTTCAATTCCTGAACCTGTCACAAAGCTACCTTTGTTACTTACCACAGATCAGGAAATCTTATTGATGGGTATATGCCCAGTTTTTCCAAAGGGCTTTTTTAATGGCCTTATAAAGTCAACCTTAATTCCTTAATGCTGTCTGGACACCTCTGGAAATGCTATTCCAAAGCCTTGTTAAAATAACCAGTGCTTTCATCATGTCCTATAGAACAAAACAGATTCTTACAGAACTTACAAAAGCTGTATTGTCAGAAATTAAGAATTCTTACAAATGGCTTTCAAATTCTGGAAAAATCAAGAAGAGAGAAAAAAATACATGTTTCAAATTCTGCCCACAAGTACATAAACTGCTTGCAAAGCTACAAATAGCTCAAAAGACAGAAAATTATTTTCTCAACTTCTGGAAAACAGAGCATAGAGAATCAGCAATGTTTCAAACAAAAAGCCGTAACAAACCAACCCAGTTCCACACGACTGATTTCTGTTCTGTTTGAAGTTAGGTTAGCAATACTCATAGAACTTTCTAATTAAAGTTCTAGAAGTTTGCTTTCAGTCCAAAGGTATTTAATTTCTAAAGCTGTCAGAAATTTGGATTCAAGAGAATTCATTAGCCTCTCTTAATATTTCTTTTTTAGGACAAACTTTGGACTCAGCTAGATATAAGCCCCCCCCTTTTTTTTAGATGAATTAAAATTATTACTGACAATATACATTAAGATAGACCAATATTTTATATTATTATAAACATAACCCACACAAAATTAATCACCATTTCATATTTGACAATGTTTGCTATACATTTTTAACAAACCAAATAAGCCTAATTTGTCCTTCTCAGACTTTCAGTGGTCTTAATATTTCAAAAACACCAAAGGTTTACAGCATTTATTTTATTGTTGCAGTTGTCATTGTTTAGCTGGCCCAGGCCAGTTTGAACCTGCCAGCTTTGGTACATGTGGCTGGCACCACAACCACTGTGCTATGGGCGCCAAGCCCCAAATTTAGAGTTTTGATTTTGGAAGGTTTGTCAAATATCAAAGGCTTAACACATTTGTTCAAACAAGATTGCAAGCCGAAAGATTTTAAAGGCAATACATAGTCACCTGGATCATATGTAAATTTCTTCACAAATTCTCTTTTATGAGCTTCATTTAACCTGCACAATCTACAAACATTCTAAACTTTTTTTTTTTTTTTTTTTTTTGAGACAGAGCCTCAAGCTGTCCCCCCTGGGTAGAGTGCCGTGGCATTACAGCTCACAGCAACCT